TACATTTGGAAGTATGATATCATCAGGTATCATATAATAGTTAAAATGAACTTACTTTTCCTTCTTAAGATGCACTAAAACTCAGTAATTCGGATAAACAAGAGATTCACGGATAAATTGGCGGTTATAATAATATCCCTAAACTCCGAGTTGTCACAAATGGGTCCAACCCAGCATACAAATGGGCCCATTCCAACAAAAAAATGGGCCCAACCCAAAATGCATACAAATGGGTCCAGCCCAACACACAATGCAATAGTCACAAAGACAGCTAGCATCTTACATAGTATAGTGAAAAGACTCACCTCAATTCAAAGACAGACAATTCTCACACTTGAGTGGCCGATACCGGAACTTCCTACACTAATCAATAAACAATAAGATCCTAATTAGAAATTAAGGTAATGATTCCCACTCAAAAGCCTTATCTCATAATATCTTTCTCTCTCTGGGGTAAAATACCATTTTACCCTACCAAGTCAAGAACCCACTCCACTTGACCCTAAATCCAAATTGTCCAAAAATCCCATTTCTGGTTCAACACCATGCGTACCTATGCTCTACGCCCTGAGCAGAGCCTTATAAGGAAAAATGGGGCAATTTCATGCTACGTCCATAGCTAGGTTTACGCCATGCATAATGTCATGTTGTGCCAATTTCTTATTAAGCTCTTAATGCAGACCAACCATCCAATTCTCATATTTGGACCTAATAAACACCCTAAGTGATAAAGTTTTCAACTTTATGCCTTTTCATGTCCTAAAAGAGAACAATACTAAAACCTAAGTCCAAAACACACCCCAATGCCTAAATACTCATGCATGGAAGGATGTGAGTGACCAAGCTCCCATTTTTATCACTCTCCAAGTTGAGAAATGATAGAAAATGCCACTCATGAGGTCTAGAGAAGCCCATACTCACTAAACCAAAGGTTAAGGGACAAAAGCTCATAAAACACATAACTAGCTAGATGTATCAAATGAATTATCAAGGTTCAAGCTTTATACCCCTCCTAGAGAATGTTGAAGAATAGTAGAATCTGGATCTACAAGATATGGACTCCCAAGCACACCTTCAATGAACTCCTTCTTCACAAAACACAACAGGAATCACTTAAATGCTTCAAAATCCTCACAATATGGCTAGGGTTTCAAGGTTACTACAAATGAGGGTGGAGGTTGAGCATGCGAAGGCTCCCAAGAGTTTACAACCTTTAAATAGGTCTCACAGCCCCTTAATTAGGGTTTTGGTCAGCAACGGCTATGCCCTACATAGTTAAATCTACGCCATGCGTAGATCATTAAGGACGCGTTCCTCCATCAGCCACTACGCCATGCATAGCTACAATACACCCTGCGTAGGGCAAAACTTCTCTCTTCCCGCTCAACTTCAAACAACCATAACTTCTTCGTTTCAACTCCAATTTCGGCGTTCTTTGTATGCACGGAAAGGTATTGACGAATCCTTACAATCCTATCTAGTTACTTTTGGCTTAACACATGTCGATCTCAAAACCATAATCCACGCAAGAAGCCCGACCTATAACTTTCATTTTCTACCCTATGGTTCCAACACGCGAATCAAGGGCTTAGATTTCTCAACCAATATTATTAACTTTAAATAAGGTCCAAACTTTACTTTCTCAAAGCCCAAAGTCTTTACATGATCGAATTACAACCCACAAACCCTAAATTGAATGTATTAAGATATGAAATGACCATATTAAGTTGTAACTTTTTTATGAATTTTAAGTTAAAATATAAATGATTTATGTATGAAGGTTTGTAATAATTTTCTTGTGAATATATTTAGATTTTGTGTTGTATAAATATGTAAGAATGTATTAGATTTTATAATTATTTTTTGTATTAAGCTAGGAACTAGTGAATTAATTGGTTTATTAAACTGATGATGTAGTATTTAAGTTTTCAATCAATGATTTTACATATAGATCTGATTTGGAAGGAATGATGATTGCGACGGTGGTACGAGTGGTAGTTGGTGGTGATAGAGTTGTATTGGATTTCTTTGAATATGTGAATTAGTGTATAATGCATTGTATTAACTTGAAAATTTTATGTATTAAATTGAAAATGGATTGTATTACATTATGTATTTTATATAAATTTTCTGTTAAAATATGAATGAATATATGCATAAAAATATTAAAATATGAATTAGTAAATTAATATGTTTATTAAACTGTGAATATGGTATTTGGAACTGTGAATATGTCTTATAAACGATACATTTTTTTAAAGATATCTATAATTTAAAAAAGAGAAAACTGAATTTGTCAATGCATAATTCTATTTTTTTATGAAATTTTGTATATTTAGCTGCAAAAATGAAAATGTATACGTTCAAAAGTGTTACCAGACAAATGGAAGCTATAATGTTTGTTCTATTAAACTGTGAATACGAACAAAAAAAATGTCACTAAATTTGTTTTTAGTTTGGTGGTGGTCTAACGACAAGTGACAATTGGTTGTAAACTAGAAACGTGGAAAGTTTGATTCATATAATATTAACTAGTTGTGAGACCCATATACTACATGAGTTTATTAAAAAAAATAAAATAAATAAAAAGATCTAAAAATTTAGAAAGTTTGAATGTATAAGGAAAGAAAGAAAAATATTTAAGTATTAAAATTGAAGTGTTCATTTCTGTTTTGAATTTAAACAAATAATTTTGATAATTAAAAAATAGAAATAATTGGATTCAGTTTTGAGATTTAAAAATTATAAAGAAAGTTACATTAATGAATTTAATATGCATTTATTATTATATTTATTACATTTAAATATCATATGGATTTTAATAAAATAGAAAAAACCACAAAATGTGATTTGAATATAATTTAATCTAAAATTAACATAAATTGTAATATGTAACATAATGTGTGAGAGAATAACAAGTTATATAAATTATTTTTTTTATTAAAGTAGATATTTGATTTGTCCAAAATGCTTTTAATGAAAAAAAAATGTTTGTAGAGTTCTTTAACTTTTTTTGTTTTCATTTAAACCATTTGGTTAATATATATAATAATATAATATATATTATATATATATATCTATATATATATATATATATATATAATATATATAATATATATCTATATCTATATAGGGTCCGGTTCCTGTGAGAATTCATTTTAAAGTAAAAACCTCGTGAGGACACCTTAAAAAATTGAAAACAATCTAAAAAAAATACAAATCAAAATCGACCATCGATCTCTGTCCGGCGAAAAAAAATTGGAAATTTTTTTTTTGCCTCATTAAAATTTAAAATTGATCAATGATTCAAATTTAATTTTTTATTTTGCATTATTATGATCCATGATTCAATTTTAATGATTCAAATTTTTTTTTCCAATTTTTTTTCTCACGGACATAGATCTATGCTCGATTTTATGATTTGTATTTTTTTAAAATTTTTTAAGGTGTCTTTCACGCGTCCTCACTTTATATATATATATATATATATATATATATATATATATATAGAGAGAGAGAGAGAGAGAGAGAGGATGAGGAGGAGGAGAGTTCAATTGAAAAAAAAAAGATTGAGATTGAGGGAATCATTCTCAGCCACACATTTATTTTGCCGCAAAACACTTAGAAATACCGGCGGAATGTGTAACGGATACATATATGTTTTTCCAACCAAACATGTTTCTTTAAAGTATGCTAATCACTACCTTAATATACACAAAAACATTTTTTTTGGTTTTTTTATGTTTAGAATGCTTTTTATTTTTATCGAAAATTTTTATTTTAAATATATCAAAATTCATTATTTTTTATTCTCTATTAATAGACATCCATATTAATATAGGTTTAATATAAAATAAAAAAAATTAGAGTTTCAGCTATCGTTATTCATAAGTGAATAAAACGTATCAGATTTTTATTACAGTACATTCGTTATTCACTTATGAATAAAACGCATGCTTAACTTTTTTACAGTTTAATTATCATTTATATATGAATATAACATGTTATAAAGTTTTCTTACCTAAAATATATTTTTTTACATCATCTTTCGTCACATGTAGATTTATAGCATAAAACGTGTATTAAATGTCGTTATTCAATATAAATAAGTAATATGTTAAAAAAAGATGAAATGTTCTGAAATTTTGAACTACTTATTAATATAGGAATAACAAATGAGATGTAACAAAATTATGATAAATGTATTCTTCGTATATAAATACAACTTGTGAGATCAGTCAATACATGTTTTATTCATATGTGAATATAACATGTTACGAGAGTTGATATAAGCTGTAAAGATTGTATTATATGTTATATTTCTATATGAATGATACTTAAATCTGTAAAAAAATCATCCTTTTTTTTTTCATAAGTGAATAACGAATGTGTTGTACTAAAAATCTTATACATTTTTATTCACTTATGAATAACGATAGCTGAAAATATAAAAAAACACTATTTTATTTTAACCCTATCCATCTGGATGTCTATTGTAGAAGAATAAAAAATCATGAATTTTAGTATCTTTAAATCATTTTTCGATAAAATAGTTTTCTTAAAAATTAAAAAAACAAATAAAAAAACTATGTTTTTGTATATATTAAGGTAATGATTAGCATAGCTTAAGGAAACATGTTTTGTTGGAAAACACGTGTATTCCTTTCCTATTTCGGTTGGTACGACGGAGGCTTTTGCGACAAAAATAAATGAGTGGCTGAGCATGATTCATTCATTCTCAACCTTTTTTTTTTCTTCCCAATGAACTTACCTCTCTCTCCGCTCGCTCTCTCTATATATATATATCTATATATATATATAATCTATATATATTATCTATCGTCTTATAGAATTTTAATTAATTTATTTAATTTTTGAAAAGAAAAATATAATAAATAGGATGAAAAGGGGAAGATGGAAAGTAGGGTAGAGAAGTACCTACCAAATCCAGCACTAACTTCAATCACAACCACTCTTTCTCTCTCTCCCACCAACTCCTTATTTATTTCCCCACTCAATTCCCCATCATCAATCTCTCTTCTTTGTTCCTTCTTCTTCCTCTTCTTTCCTCTGCAATGGTGCGATCGCCTTGCTGTGAAAAGGATCACACCAACAAAGGCGCATGGACCAAAGAAGAAGACGAACGTCTCGTCTCCTACATCAACGCTCATGGCGAAGGCTCCTGGAGATCTCTCCCTAAATCCGCCGGTTTGAATCGCTGCGGCAAAAGTTGCAGGCTCCGATGGATTAATTACCTCCGACCTGATCTTAAACGCGGCAATTTCACCCCACAAGAAGATCAACTCATCGTTAGCCTTCATGCAGTTCTCGGCAATAAGTACGTCTTCTTCTTCATTCTATTAATATTCTATTCTTTATTAGGGTCAAAAAAGAGGAATCTCGCTTCATTATCCTCTTTTGAAACCATGATACAAATGAACCCATTGATATTCTTCACTAAATATGTGTAATTAAATTTACGTATTTACGTTTGTTACAGATGGTCAATGATTGCGTCAAGATTACCGGGAAGAACAGATAATGAAATCAAGAACTACTGGAACACCCACATCAAGAGGAAACTGGTTGTCAACAGCCATAAAACCACCACCAATGTCGTAAAAACCATCGAGGAAACACGTCCGGCACCACCGGAATATTCGACAAAGATTATTGATACATCAACTAGCAGCGGCGGCGGCGGCGGTGGTGGTGGTGGTGTGAGTAGTAGTAGTACAACTAGCGGGTTATCCAGTGAAGAATCCATACCAGTGACGAATATCACACACCCTGACATCAACCTTGAGCTTTCCATTGGTCTACCAATGGTTTCTGATCGGAAACCAGTGGTGGTGGTGCAACCACCGGTTTCTGCGTTTTCTTTGTATAAAGAAAGGATTGGTGATGGATGTGGAGAGACTGTGAGAAATAGTGATGAACACTTGTATGTCAAAGAGCATAGTATTGGTTTTAGTTGGTTTTGGTAGGTTTGATTTTTTTTTCAGCAGATGTAGATGATAATCATATTAATTACTGTATGTAGCTAATTAGCTATAAACTTTTTAGCCGATTTTTTTTGGGCATAAACAATTTTGATCTAAAACCATATCGGAACATATCCGATATCACACAACTAAAATATGTTACATAGTTATCCAATATTAGATGACTACTGTAACATATGTAACATATGGTATAGTAATTCGATCTTTCGATATAATTATTATTGTTATCCAATAGCATTAATAATGAACGGATTAACCTGTTGGGTGGTCCTCGCTAACTCGCAAGGTTGACACGTGGGCAGACCATGCATTATTGATTGGATTAAATGCGTGTGTACCATATTAAATTTGTTAGGTTCGACCTTGAGCCGAATTAAAAGTCGACAAAACGTGTTAGGTTGGAATTTAAGAACAACCGAAAGATTGATAAAACTTGTTAGGCTAAAAAATTTAAAGACCAATTAAATGTGATTCTGATTGATTCATTGATGGTTGAACCTGACATACGTTTTGATCAGGGAAAATGGGAAATCACTATTTTACTTTTTACCTTTAAAAACATAATAAGTTGTATACACCAACCATTAATTAAATGAAGTTATTACTCGCAAAAAAGTACCGAATTATATTGAACATAATCTTTTTAACGAAAGGAGGTCCAGAAAATTGTTGATTTTTCAAGAAATGATTACATTGCTTCAATGCTATGTTTTCCTATTTCGAATTTGCATCACATGAACATGGATTTTTATGACTATGAAAGAACAGCCATGACATCAGAAGCACGAAGAGCAATATACTCAGAGCCATCTGTTCCTTTGAAGTCGTTCCCTGCATATTTTGAGTAAAGAACAGTGTTTCCTGGAGACAATGGAAGCTCTTTTCTTTTTCCTTCTTCATCTAAAGGACCAGGTCCTACTGCAATCACCTGTAATCAAGTCCACATTAAGCATCATTAGACGCAAAAGAAAAAAAAATTAATTTTAAGAGTTGAGTAATTTGACAGGTGTCACTCACAGTGCCAATAGAGGGTTTTTCTTTGCTTGCTTGTGTAAGCAATAAGCCGCCAGCTGTCGTTTCCTCAGCTTCCTCAACCTTTTATACAAAGTAGAAGATCAAATTAAGAGGATTCTATTGTCATATTTATGGCCCAAAATACCCCTTAAGGATACAAGGGTTACTAACCTTGATAAGAACTCTGTCATTAAGAGGTTTCAAATCCTTAACATCTTCTGTTTCAAGAATACCAACAATGTCATCTTCCTTCAGTATGAGATGATTGGATCCATTAAACTCAACTTCAGTCCCTGCATACTTGGAGTATACAACTGGGGTACCAGTCTTCAAAATAATTATACAAAATAGTCAGTTAAAATTATTTCAATACATACATTTAAATCTTAAGTTCTTTTAGCATTAACAAAATAACTATTACCTTGACACCAATTTCCACCTTGTTTTGACCAATTGTCCTGCCTTCTCCAACTGCAACAACTTCACCACCTTGAGGCTTTGTTTGTGCAGTGGATGGGAGTAATATACCACCTGCACTTTTCTGCTCAGCAGCCTTGATTTTTACCAACACTCTGTCACCCAATGGCTTCAATGAAGTGTACTGCAGGATGAAATGAAAGACAACGTGTATCAGAAAGTGTTTTTGGAATGAATGGAAACAAGTTTGCATTTGTAGACGCCAAGAAAAAGACTCACAAAACCAAGTTTGTTAATTAAACTTCATAAAAGAGAAACTAATAAGTCATTAAGGTGGTTTATCAGTATCAAACTTACTACAGTTCGAATATCAACTTCAACAAAAAGAAAAACTAAGGTATACTCGTAGTGAAAGTGATTGGTTGCCAAATGCCAATTAAGAACAAGTATTTCATTTCCTTGAGCCTTTTGTAGGAATCATTACTAGTGGCTATTATACAAAGCAAAAAAGCAGATACTGTATAAAGAGTAGGTATAGCAGAACTAAAAATTGGTGCAAGAATTGACCTTGGGAGCAACGGTAGTAGCAGATTTGACGACCAGACTACGGGTTGACCTGAGTGTCGAGCTTCTAAACGGAGAAGACACCACAATCGATGAAACTTTGGATGTTGAAGACTTCAGACCTTCAAAAGACGGAAGAAAGCAGGTCGATGTCAACTGAGCAGCTGCCATTTCCTAAACCTAAAACAATCCACAAGAAAATAAAACCAATTCAGTAAACCATAGGCACAGATTCGTTCCGATTATGCAATTCGCAAGTTAATATTCAACGTTAAAGCCGATATAAATTCAAGGCTACTGTCGATTTTGAAACTAAACAGCAATTAATTTACATCAATCAATTACAACAAATACAAGTTGTTAGAGAGACAATTCATACCTTGGGGAGAGATTAGGTGGTTGCTGTAGTAGTGACTGAAAACGGAGAGGATAACAAAACCCTAGAGACGAAATGATGGGTTTTATATTTACAAGAGACGTTTCCAGAAGGTTTGTTTATCTTCGTTTTGTTTCTGGGAACTACTCCAAACGACGTCGTTTTGACAAACTTGTTTGGTTGTTGACAAGATGTGTTACATTTTGTTACATGATTGGATAAATTTTTCAGGTTTATTTTGTAAGATTAAGATGACAAGGGCATTAACGTATTTTACACAAAGATGCAGCCTCTGTCCTCACTTTTGGGATAAGAAATTATTAATTTAGTTTCACTGCCATCAGTCTCAATGGAAAAAATAAAATGCAATGGTTTTAAAACACACGTTTAGTTACATTACCTTCAAAATTATTTTACAAAAACAAAGAAAATAGATGCTAACGATTTCAAATTGCTACTAATTTCCAATACTACCCCTCGTGGGACGACAAACATGATTCCTTTTACGAGCATGATCTTCACTATGATGTTGTGTTCGACAAGTGTAACCGTACCAACAATCCTCCCTTTGCACTGCATCCGCAGGTAGAAGCTACAAGAACAAATTCTCATGTCAGGATTTCACACAGACTGTATTTGTTACATAGGACATGACAAGCTTTCTAGAGATTTCCCAATCATGAATTCAAAAAGTCAAATCACCTGTAATCACAAAATGATGTCTCCAAAAATTTTGACTTTTGAAGTCATAAATTTCGTCCGATTATGAAAAAAAAGGTAGTTTGACTTTTGTGGTCAAAGATAATTTACAAGTGATTGAAATGTCGATATACGTACATGTTTTGGTATGCTGACTCGATACCAATACAAGAGGAATGACACTAGCTTATCAAAGCAATCACTGCACGAAAACACAAATCAATCAATTTCAAAAATTAGAATCATTTTCCAACTAAGTCAAAGATGCTAAAAACTATTTAAATCCAAGGCTAAATGCAAGAAACAGCAATACACTTTCATTTATTTGTATAGTATAGCATCCTACTTCTATTTCATTCTATTACAACAATTTATTTGTACATTGTAATAAAAGCATGTTGCTATTTCTTGTATTTAAGCCTTGAATCTATTGTGCAAACTCATAAAACATACTTGCAAACATGTGTTCCACTAGTAATCATCTCGGTGTGATTCAATGGCATCCTTGTACGATCTGCAGTGTTCATAAATTAAGCTCTTAATAACCACATTTGACTTTTGATTGTCAAATGTTTGACTTTTGATTGTCAAACGTGTTACTTTTAACTCCAAAGATTGATAACAACTTAGCTTTGACTTATAAACCACATTGGTTTTCAATTTGAAAGTAACTAGTTTGACCTTAAGACTCAAAAAGCATAACTTTGTTGCATATTTTGGTCTTAGAATGACACTTGGTTGCACATTTATATTTGAAAAACCATTTTGTTGCATAAATAGGAAAAAGAAATGTGAAAAGTTGTTGCATTATTTTGCATTTAACCATTTTCTAACTTTAATCATCATAATTCATAAAGCAATAGCTTTACCTATTTCTCGATTATTCAACTTTGTAATCCATTCTGAGACAACATTCTGTAGAGTTTTCCCCATCTGTCTTATACATCTTTCAGTTATCTGAAAAATATGCTAATAAGTATCAATTATCAAATTCCCTTAATGTTTATAAACTTAGTATGTATCTCATTAAGGTTCTGTTTATATGACTTAATCTGATAAACTATATATGAATGTTGTTTTTTGACTGATGGAGAAAGAACTTAATAGAGAAAGTCAGGAATATGAGGTTTTATTTTACAAAACTGCCCTCATGTGAATGTTGCCATTTTCTAAAAAAGCTTTTTAAAAATATTTTTTATGTAGAACAAAAGAAAGTAGCTTCTTACATCTTGTTCATGTCGATTCCTTTCATGTGCCAAAAAAGGAATTCTTGTTATAATTCGTTCTGCAATCTGTAGAACATTTTTACAGGTTGAATTACAACAATTTTTTAATCTAAAACAAAAATATTATATGGAGAACTTCCAATCATGCTTTCAAAAAATATACACCATGAAAGCAACATTGATAAATAAAGAGAAACATAAGAATCGAAGTAATAGAATAAGCAAGGTAATGGAATGAGTCATTACATTCCGTGGTTCATCTGTAGGAATGGAATGAAGTTTCATATGAAAATTTTATATTATATGTAAATATATATTGTATATAGTTTTACTTTTAACTCTACTTTATACATTAGTTGATTATAACTAATGAAGTTTATATTTGCAAAAATAAAAGATTAAAGATAACTAAAGCTCATTAGAAACAAACGATTGTATCATTATAATAACAAAATATATTCTAGCTATTTTTTGAAAACATAACTTCGAATTATTTAAAATACAATCTATGGTATTGACTTTACATTATACGTTATTTTATTATAGTTACTGAACTTTTTTATTTAAGAAGAAAATATTAAACATAATAAAAGCTCATTAAAAACACATATAAGATTATAAAATATACATATTTTCTAGCTATTTTTTGGAAAATAGAATTGTAAATTTGTAATTCAACTAAAATCATATGAAGCCTCAATCCCATTTGATTCCATCACACAAAGCAAACATCTTTTTTTTCATTCCAATGGAATGAACTATTCCATTCCATTCCTTCCCTGATTCCATCATTCAAAACACTACCAAAGTTTCATCTTCCAAAAAACCAAAAGAGAAAAATGAGAAAATATCAATAACTTACTGGTTTAAAAGTCTCAGAAGCACACATATGAAATGAATCACTTCTTGTAACTTGTTGAGAATTCCAATAAGCACCACAAAATGCTCGATCACACCCTATGCCTTCAAACATATGGAAAACATTAATCATTTTCACAACATAAACAATCATGATTTAAATAATAAACTCCAAGATGAAACTAAATCGAATTATTTTACAACACTTCAATCGAACATTTTGACCATGAGTTCACAAGTATGTTGACCACTCACAGTGTTGTGGTATATTAATATCTGTTCTTGAAGGCATCATTCCTCCACATGCATGACATTGTAGATGCACTGTGTTTTGATTGCATCGAAATCCTGCATATTCTGTGCCTAAATAATATGTAAAAGAATCAGTTGTGTATAAATGTAGAAGAAAGATTAGTGATTTGTTATTATTAGCACATGAAATTCAATAAAAAGAGATCCAATTTCAACTTCCAAGAATTGAAATGATAAGTTTTTAACTTCAGAACTTTTGTGGAAAGATCTTGACAGATTCTATAATCTATATCAATTTTGTTGTTTAAAAAGTACTAAGGCCATGTTTCTTTTTTTACACCAGATAAATGACATTTTATATATTTACCACATTGAGCACATGCAAGATTTGTGCCACTATTACTACTATCTTCTTCAGACACTGAATGTGACCTCTTTCTTCTAGGCTTCTTTCCATTGTTAATCACCTAATAATCATATAGTTCAAGTATTATCATCAGAAGCAATAAAGATACTTTACATAATTACAAAATCTCATGAAAACAAACATATGAAATACAACTATACGAGTGATTTGACTCACAAGAGGTGATTTTATTAGTGAATAGGTGTTTAAAACCGCAAGTTCTTCATCACTTCGCCTTAAAGAAGAATCACTTTTGAGTATTTCCTACAAATAAGAAATGTATATGTATAATATGAATAAATTTATTCATAGAATGATATTCAAATCTCAAATGATACCTCTTCAATGTTGTGGAGGAAGTGGTTTCTTCCTACAAATTGTACAACTGCTCTACAATGGGGACAAAGAACACTTGCATGTTTTGCTTGTGACCTTTTTAACCACTCTGAGAAGCATCCATTGCTTTAAATAACAAAACTAAAGAATTAATTGAAAGTTTATTTCTTTAAGAAAATGAAATTGTCAAGAAATTTACCAAAAGTTGTGGAGGCAAGGGGCAACTGTGACAACATCATGCCAAATATTTAAACATATGCTGCATTTTGCATGGTCTGAATCTAAAGAAATCTAGCATAAACAAAACACATGTTCATCACTTATATGATAATTGAAGTATTGAACACTTAGTGTTTTCTGAAGAAAGTGTTTAAAAATATTTGAGAACATAATGGGACACTGAATCAAATAAATGAGGGCATATTTATACCTTTAACACCTTCTTGGAAGGCTCATCCTTTGGCATCACTTTGAATCTGTAACTCAAATAGCCTTTCAACATCAAAAGAAATCAAAAGATTACAATTGGCACTTAACTTTTCCAAAAAAATAAGTAAAAGGTTTCTCTTATTAACATGATGTTATATAATATACCTTCTGAAACATGTCCAGGAATTATCTCACTTCCACAACGAATCATGATTGTATCTTCAGTTGAAACATCAGTCCCATCAACATAAATCACATTTAAACTGCATAATTTCAAATAACAAATATTCATGTGAGGCCACAAATTAAATAGCACTTAATTTCAATATCATAGGACTTTGTTTTTGTAACAAAATTTAGTAATTAAGTACCTCTTATTTTGTAATGTTGCAGAAGAGAGATCTGAATTTCTTGTAATTTTACACCATTGTTGCTTTTCGAATGAAGAGATTTTAACCTCTGAATTTATCTCCACCTCATCTAACCTCAATTCAATATCTGAAAATTTGTTGTTTGATGGAACTGGGACATGATTGTAACAGTTTATCAGGACTTATGTTGCAGTTTACTCTTCAAAATAGTAGAAATTATGAATCAAGAACATTTTAACTTTTTACCATCATTTAAAAGATCCAATTTTGCAATAACTTTTGTATAGTTGCTACACGAATATTTGGCAACAATCAGACTGCAGAACTAAATGTCAAGTTATGAGTTTAAAGAAAGCTGATAACTTGATTTGGTACTTATTAGTGTAAGTGAAAATTTTGATTTCTTGAGGTTTTCAAACCCTAATATGGCTAAAAGCTAATATCCAGGAGGTTGTCTCCTTAATCATTATTCATTAATGAGTAAAAGTTTGATTTCAAGAGACTCCACATCAGGTCATGTACAATTCACACTTTGTTCATCTGTTATTAAAAATTCCTTTTTTCCAATATTTAGCATTTCATGTTTAGATTACAAAGTAGGTCAGCAAAGTATTAAGTGGGTCTTGGATGAAATACCCCTAAATCAATCAAATGTCAAAATTACAGTGAAAACAAGAGATTGAGACAAGAAAACTGATTCTGGTAAATGTAAGATTATTTATCTATCATTGACTATTATTGATTATGCAATAATTTGATTACTGAAGTCACGATAATCGCTTTGATCCTACACATTTAACACCCCCTATAATAAAGATAGGAATACCCATAAGGGTAAATTTGAAATGTTTATTCGACTGTCAGCAAGAAACCCCAGAAAGGTTCAAGATTTTAATGAAGGAGCCACGGAATCCTCAGTGGCAATCACATACGCAAATCGATAATGTGGTTTACGGATGATTCCTTTGAGAAATATTTTCTATATGCGACAGTAAACGGGGCATGTAGCAATTGAGAAAAAGGAGAAATTTTGAATGTTAATTGAAGAGCAGAAAAAGAGGGAATACCAAGTTTGGACCAAATTTCATCAGATGGCTTTGAACCAGAACCCTCGCCTTGTTCCATTTCTCGCTTTTCTTTGCCTGCTTGCCGTTGCCTTCGCTCTCCAGGGTTTTAATTTCACAAGGTGTCTTCCTACGTGGTTGCTTCTAAAAGGAGAATAGAGAAGAGTGCTAAACACGAAGGATTTTGACAAAGATTGTTTTTGTAAATTTGGATAACTACATGGACGTTTTGATGTTTTAGACTTTTAACTATTTACTTAATAAAATATATTTTTTCCATTGATTTATGTAGTAGTCTTTTCTAGGTTTTGGATTTTCGAAATAATTTATTGACTTATTGGTTTTTATCATTATAAAATTTAAAAACATCAAACAACGATGAGAGAGAAAAAAAAAATTATATATGGTCACGGGTTTGTTTACATGGCTACAAACAAGCGACTATGTGTTTATGTCCACCCTAGTAATAGTTTATAAGAAAAAAAAACGAAAATTTTAAGTTTTTCTGTTTAAACCAAAAGTTTATTTTACCAATTAAAATAATTTTTTTTTTCATTTTGCTAGATTAGTTGCAGGTTACCTTAATATAATATGCAAATAAAAAAATCAAAAAAAATATACATGTTAGGATATAAGGTTATTCAAGATGATAGGGTGCATGTCATGCTTTAGTATCAAAATGTTTCTCATTGTCTCATGAATATGGTGTTATAATGATATTAAAGTTACATGCAAATGTTGAGGTTAATCGGTGGATCCACTTGAAGACATGGTTTTTGTACTTTGAGATGCTTCCAAGAGGTTTTAACTTTTTTTAGGATTTCTATTATAGATAACTAATTTATTCATGTAGTGTTTGATAGCATGATATCCAACCATAAACTTTAAAAATACCATAAAATTTCGAATTTAACCAGGATTTAGTATTATTGCATATATGATTGACTTTTTTGCATATAAACAATGCACTGCATTACTACCAATTATGTTCAAGGAAGGTCGGGAAAAGCCTTCACAATAATCCAAGGAAGCTTGAATTTTTTGGATTGAGTTAAATTGTTAGATATGGAATTATTGATGACCAAGGGTAAAACTGGATATTTGATTAAGTGTTGAGTTGCAGGAATTACACGAAGTGTAATTATTAATTTACATGACACATAAAACCAAGTTAAGGCATGTGTTGATGTAAAACGTCAATGTACATTACTATATTAAGAAGTAATTATGAAAAGATGTGTAATATAATAACAACGCGATGCGTCCGATAGTATGATGATAATATAGGAAACCAATGTGATGTGTCAAGAACAAAGTCGGTTAATCAGTAAATGAAGATAAGGAGTATAATCATACACTTTCTTCCATTTTTGATTCATACGCTGTAAAAGTAATCAGGGGTGATTTTGGGAGATTCTTGTAAGAACTTGAAGTTTTAGGATAGGGGGCACTTCTACTTGAATCAAAGGTATCATCTCTTCTTGAAGCTCATTTGAACTTTAGTGATGAAATTGATTGAGGTGATCTAACCTTAATGCTTGAATTAAAAGAAAGTCATTATATTAATGATGTAGAAGGCTCATTAATCATATTCCAATCACTTTATATTAAATTTATATCTTAATTCTCATATATTGAAAGAGATGATTATGAACCCTAATTTGGTGAATTGTTAGATTAGTGAAATTGATATGATATCTTAGTAGATTAAGTTACATAAATAAACTATACATGAAACATAACTAGTTTTGATGTGGAAAAGTTAACCATGAGATTAAGTCATATATATATATATATATATATATATATATATATATATATATATATATATATATATATATATATGAATTATACATAGAGCTTCAACTGTAGAAATGATGGAAATAAACCTATGTCTTAATGAATTAAGACATATTGATGAACTTGAACATCGACACTCAAGGTGATGAAATGATGATTTTAGTAGGACTTAATCTACGTATTAATGAATTAAGACACATAGACAACTAAGTTCATGGATTATAATCAGTTGTACATAGGAGGGTGTATAAACTTGATGAAAACATTGAGTCAAGAGTGATAGACAAATAAGTTATATCTTGAGTTGTAATACTCAAGAGTTATGTGTTTATTTGATAGTGTTTGGGGTTGTGAAACAGGAGACAGGGACTGGGCTGTAAAAGTTGAAGACTAGTACATGTAAATTATTATAAAGTGAGTAATTATACATCCTTCCACCTTGATAGTTAGTAGTTAACTATCTATTCATGTGAATATGAATGTGGTGTTTGGAGAACATCAACAATGGGGGGGGGGGGGGGGGATAATACCTAGTAGCCTTTGTGGCTTTAATATTATGGTTTGGGAAAATGTTAATTTTGGTGATAGCCTTTGTAGCTTTAATATCACGAGGAAGCATTATATGGGTATGGTAGTAGCCTTTGTGGCTATAATACTATCATTGAGGAAAACTAACAAGGCATTGGTAGCCTTCGTGGTCGTAACACTATATGAACTTAGAAGCATGTGTATATGTGTTATTTGAAAGGCACAATGTGAATAATTGCTATTAATGTTTTCATTATTACGAGGTTATAAAAAATGTTCGACATTAGTTAGACGGGGATTAAGTAGGGACCCTAAATTACTAATTTGTTGAATTTTAAAAAATTAAATATGACTAATATCATAAAAAAGTTTTTAAATACCACTAATATCATAAAAAAATATGTTAATATAATTAATACGACACTAATAACTCCTCAAATATTTATATTGAGATAGAACTTCTTCAAAGTGTTCAAATTGCATCGTTTGCTACTGTTTTGCTCATTTTGTAGGTAGGGATTAATTGTTAGGCGTCTTCTAGTCAGTTAGGTAGCACATAGGCAGGGGCAGACGTAGGATTCTGTAGTAGGTGTTGTCGGTTCGTAGTAGGTGTTGCCGGTGGCACATTTTATTGTAGAAAAAAGAAAAAAAACCGAAAATTTTGCACTACGTCTGGAAAAATTAGGTGTTGTCGGTGCCACCGTTAGCACCATAGTAGATCTGACATTGCACATAGGGACTAATCAAAGAATAATTGAGATTTTTACAACATTATTATTATGATTGTTATTGTGATATTATTATTTAAGGATAATGTTGCTCACTAAGCTTTAGGAGTTTATATGTTGTTTATTGATGTGCATTTGAGAATCTAGCGAATCCCGAACGAGTTAAGGCCATAGCAGAGAAAGATAACTAATGTGGAGTAGTTATATAGTTTTGCATTTTGGTTGCATAATATTTTAATACCCGGCTCGGTCTTTATCTATTATTTATTGATGTTTTGTATTGTAAGTAATATTGTGATAACTACTTATATTTTGCAAATTTTAATATGAATGTAAACCTTGTTATTTTGTAGAAAGTGAAAAAAAAAATGAGTATACTTTGTGTTAAATTATCGGGGGTTGCATTATTTTCAGAAAATTGATCTCTAATACATCCTGTGTAAGTTCGTATCTTCAATTGTCAATTTTCAGTAGCTTGATTTTACATGTTTCAGCTATATTTAGGGTTTTTTGATGTTTTTCTTTTGTTTTTTTTCCTATTTTGTTTTTTTTTTTTGTTGTTTTTAATTCTTTATTATTATTATTATTATTATTATTATTATACCCCTTTCCTTTTTCAATTCCACCCCCTTGATTTGATTTTTTGTCTTTTGTTGTTTTTTTTTTGTTTTTTTTTCCTATTTTGTTTTTTTTTTGTTTTTTTTTAATTCTTTTTTAATTATTATTATTATTATTATTATTATATATTAAACTTGTGGAAGAAAGGAATAGTAAACTTGGGATACTTTGTCCAAGTTTGGTCCTTTGATTTACATATCCGGTCCCTGTACTTTTTTAATTAATTTATTCATGTCCTTTTGTTTGTGTTCCATTCAACTTCCCATTTTTTTGGCAGAATTGGTCCCTGTATTATTGTTGGAAGTTAGGAATACTAAATTTGGATGTTTTTTGGCAACTTTTGTCATTATTCTTTACCCATTTTGACACTTTTGGTCCTTGCAATCAATATTTTTACACTTTTTTAGAACCTTTTAATATTTAAAGTTTGGCCACAAAATTTTAACGGTTTGACAACTTTGATCTCTTTTCTAAAAAGTTGCTAATTTCTACCCCTTTAATTCTTTAGCCATTTTCACACTTCTGGTCCTTACAGTCAAAACTTTTATATTTTTTGTCCGGGGCAAAGTCCGGACTTTTCATCCTTGCACTTTCTATGTCTGTCATATTTATCAATTCGGAAACAACATTGAAAGCTTCTGGCCCCCGCGTAACGGGGGTAACCTTTCTAGTTATTATTATTATTATTATTATATTTTGATTATTATTATTATTATTATTATTATTTTTATTATTATAAATTTCGCACAAAATTTTAACATTTGGAAGACATTATAAATTCAAACGGCTATATAAAATCGGTTTTTAAATATTTTTTTTATATTTTTTAATTACGGACAAAAAAGTCGTTCAAATTTTATAATGTCGTGCGAATTTATAATGTTTACCGAATTTTAAAATGTCATCCGAATTTAATAGTAATAATATTAAAATATAAAATAAAAGGAAAAAAAAATCAAAAACAAAAAGGAAAAAAATATTAATAATAATAATGTCAAATCAAAAGTAAAAAGTTGATTTGATTGATGTTAGAGGGGGGTAAAATTGGTTAAGGGGGTACTTATAGCACAACCCCTATATTTATCGTCCTTCATTTTAATCGTTATTTTATAAATTTGAAATCTAACAAAACTTGAAGATCAAGTTGAATAAAGAAAACAAAATTCTTTATATTCTCTATATAGGCATGGGTATTGTTTGATAATATGGAAAATCTTGATAACATCACTCCTATTATGATTCCATTTAAAGCGGAATCATCAACAATGATATGCCGAGGCGTTGTGTGAAAACCAAAATGAGGCCCCATAATTATTTTTTGTAAAACATTAGTAAGTAATTTTGTTTCCGCTAAATTCAAAACTTAAATTTGTTAACAAACAACTGGTAAATTCACTACCACAACATCATGTCTTCACTCATTGGTAATAAGTTGTAACTACTACAAGCAACTTTAAAAAAATATATAAAAAAAGTAGTGGATTATTATTTTCTAAACATTTATCTTTTAGCA